ATTTAGCCATAGTCATGCAATCATACTTTAGGAGCTCTAAGAATGGCCAACAGCAAAGACTTTAATCACATTAGGGCAACATTTGATTCATAATATTAAAAGTGACTCTTCAAACACACAGTAACTATACAATGTTTATGCACTCACTCTTTTTATCTGTGATGCTTACCTTTCATTTCTTTAGAAATAATTATCTTCATTGATTATATATTTAATTTAGCCATAGTCATGCAATCATACTCTAGGAGCTCTAAGAATGGCCAACGGCAAAGATCAACTTTAATCACATTAGGACAACACTTGATTCATAATATTAAAAGTGACTCTTCAAACACACGGTAACTATACAACGTTTATGCACTCACTCTTTTTATCTGTGATGCTTACCTTTCACTGGGGCACTACTTTCAAAGTAACAGCCCCTCTTTTAATGAAATCATACTTACTACGCAAAAAGTAGGATGATTAAGATGTTCTCCATGGTCAAAAGAGAGAGTCAATCTTTGCAGCTGACTTGAGAACAAAGTAGCTATGCATGCATAAAGTTGATTATGTTTATGAATAAAAATAAATACCTCTATTCATTAGTAATTCATATATTCTGCATTTTAACAAGTTAAAAAAAAAAAAACTCTAAGTCTTACCATGGCTTATGCGATGAAACCAGTAGTATGCAAAATCCACCCCCAGGAAAGTCAAATACCACGTCCACGGAGAATGCCAGGGCAGTTCAAAGAGCCTGTAGTTATCCCATACATAGACATAGCTAATTAAGTCGATGCTTCGGAATAGAACACTGAAACAGAGAACCAAAAACTTTCTCAATAATTTTTGCAACTTTAGTTACAGAAATGTTTTGTTACACATTTAGCTTTTATCAGGTTTATACTGTTTCATAACTCATAAAAAAGTAGGCAAGTTCTGCAATTGTTGTCAAGTAATAATGCCATTGATATAGTAGTACTTCTGCTTAAGGTCTGTAAGGATTTTTCATATTAGCCTTCATCCATTCATCTTCTGTGTCTTGGTATTGAGCACTCCAAAACTCTTAAGCACTCTGGTGCTGTGCAGGCACTTTTTTCACAAGTCTGGAAGTAACCTATCCTTGCTAATTTGCAATTTTAAAGTAACTGACTGCAGTAATTATTGGCATTGAAATGCTAATGCGTGGTATTAAAAGAACTTGGCTATTTCCACTGTAAATAGGATGCAGGTAGGTAGAGGAATGAGAGTGAATAAGAATACAGAAAGGTGCCCTCATTTGTATTAGTGCCACAACTCAGCAGTGCTTTTTCCTGAACCCTGCCTTTTCTTCTTTTTTGAATTGTATTGCTTTTAATCTGGACAATTTTGGTGATCTAGCTTACAGCACTGCCCCACAAACACTTAAGTCTGCAAAACTGAGAAGAGGACATATTCTCTTCCTTCTCCTCCAAAGCCTTGTTTCACACATTTGGAAAGCCTCCTATGTACCTATATGTACTGGTCATTCAAGATTGCTTTACACAAACCCTGGGAGTAGCATGGCCATAGTAAACCAGTACTTTGATCTTCTGGGGGAAACTTCACAGAAATGCAAGGAAACCTCAGGAGTTGAGCTGCTGTAGCTTGCACACCCTCCTACACAGCGACTAGAAGCAGCTTCTCTGTGCTCAATTCTTTGTGCCGCAAGATGCCTCCAGAACATTGTGTTTCCTGCATTAGCACCTGTGCCATAATGATATTCTGAATAAGGCTAGAAGGAAACATCTTGAGTGTCTGCTGTTAGTCTCCCTATTAACAAGGAACAAAGGCAGCTGAAAATCTCAAGCTCCCACTACTAGCCTCGAGGCAGAAACTTATCACTTTCATGCCTTTATCCTGAGAAGGATGTGCCCTGCACAGCCAGCTGCCACATCTTACCTGCAACTAATACCTACCTTTGCTAGTTACCAAAACACAGCAAGAAATGTGCACTTTGCTTTTCGCAGCTGGTAGAATCAGAATTTCTCTCAAGCAGCAGTGACAGGTGTATCTGCCACTTCAAAAGCAACTTTGCCTTGCCCAGAATTTGGATCATACACACCTGGAACATGTTTAATTTTCATAAGAGCTTTGTTCTATAAATATTTTTAAAGAAGATTATATGTGTCCAACCAGATTTTTGCAATTCACCTCACGAGGCATCTGTAAAGTTTAGTATAAATTCTCAATCACTTTCACAACAGGTCAGAAGGGAGCAGATATTATTCAAACATAAAGAAATTGGCATTTTTTAACATCTTTTCCATGACCAGGAAATTTAAAACACCTCTTGCAACATACAGTATCAGTTATTATTTGGTACTGTTTTCTTACTTTATTCTTTTACTTTTATTAACATATAATGCTTGCGCAGTGCATGCAAAGATATGTGAACTGGTACCTTTCCTCTTTTTTTGATCAGCTTTCATTATTTCACCATTGAGTCTTTCTTTTGGTTTTTTTTTTTTTTTTTTTTTTTTCCCTCATAAGCAGAGGCCAAGGTGTGAAGCTTGAGCTAACCCTGAAACATATTTTTATATACATAACTTTCCATAAATGACAGAATTTGCTTATTCTTTCCTTCATGCTTGAATCAATACTCTACACCATATAACACCAGTTGATTATTGCAATTAATTTAGAGTAATCCATCATATCACCATGCAATGCTGAAGAAAGAGGAATTGCTGAGCTAAGGGTTTTCTTTTCTTTTTCTTTTTTCTTTCTTTTTTTTTGTTAATTTACAGTGTGATAAATAGGAAAGTCCAGAGCTTGCATTCAATAATGAAGCTGAAAGTTCACTTGGAGTTTTAAAGGTTTCTATCACCCCTTTTTTTTCTCCCTCAAGTTCAATTTTCACTTCTTGAAAATACTGAAGAGAACTTAAGAAAACTTTTCCCTATTTAAATGTTAGTTTGTCACCATATATAGCAGAAATGGAGATGCAAGATTCTTGTCATCTAGTCCAAACCTCTGCAAATGAACAATAAATCTTAGAACAGACAGATTATATGGAAAAACTTACTATATACATTTCTTTCCTTGGATTTTGAGCATTTCTGCAGAAAATTTTCTTAATAAATGCAAAGTAGGCACTAATGCAACTGTTTCAACTTTGAGATAGAGTCTTTTTCTTACGGTTTCTAAAGTTCATATGTACTTTATCTTAAGATGACGATGTCTGTTATAATGCACCATTCTCCTCTTCTTCCTCTACTATCTCTGCTAAGTCATACTATGTAACTGGGGGAAAAATAAGAGAGAGAGAGAGAAGAAAAGGGAATTCTGAGAGATTAAGTCTGTAAGTGGACATGAAGATCTGCTTACAGCACATCCCAATGAGATAATGAAGGAGGGAAAATGGTGGAGGAAATTCAGCTGGAAGAAGAGGCAACTGCCTCATTTCACAAACACTAAAAGGGCTTGTTCTGTCTCCTCCATCTCACAGAGCAACCTTAAAGCCTTGAATCAGAGTTTTAAGAATCTTCTTCCAGAGTTTCCAGAACAGTCGCTGAAATGGTAAGGGGTCAGGAAACATGGGGAAACAGCAGCTGTAGTCTGGAGGAAGATCCCCACCTGGTACGGGAAGACCCTGCGGAGACAATCCAGGCTGAGGTCACCACTGTGGGCTCCATTCAGGCCATTGTGGGAACCCACCTCCAAGGCTCCTCAGGGCTAAAAGCCACAACTGCACTGACAAAAGCTCTGCCAGACTTGCAACTCCTGAAGGTCAGACATAGAGGGAAACACATCAAACACCCTGGCCACGAGGTTATGTTATCGTTAAAAATAGTGAGATATTATTCATACATTTTTTCCCTGGGTTAAACAAATTCAGTTTTCTTAGTTTGATTTGAACTTAAATGCAAATTTTCAAAACGTTGAACAAAGACAGTTTCGCCTCAATAATTTTAAATTATTCAGGCATATATAAAACAGCAGGATACATGAATAATTAAATGCTCTGTAAGTCTTTGTTTCAGAGTGAAAAGTATAGGGATTTCCATTTCCAAAGATACTCATGAAGCTTTCTTTTCCAGATGAAAAACTGGCTACAGTCACAATTGGAATAAACATTTTGATAACATGATTTCAGTAAAGAGGAGACGGGGGAAGGAGGTAAAGGAGCCTTGAGAAAACTTCCATTCGCAAAACAAAGCAAACCTCCTGCAACTGAAATCCCCTTTTATTTCCTGTACAGGTGCCAGGTCTTGAACAGACACCCAATTTATTACCTTGTCAGCTGACTTATTAGGGTTGACACAAATCGAGCTGAAATATTCCTGACATACTGCAGTCAAGGCTTTTTTCACGCTTTAGCACAAAGCCAAACTTTCCACAAGGTGGAGGGAAGGGGAGAGGGAGTTGTGGGAGTTCTATTCCCTGTTTTCTATCATCAAGATGAATATGATCCTCTCCCATTCTTAATATGCAAAACCAGGCATGAAATAACCCAAGGTTAAAAAATAATTCACCAAAATGATACAGCTGGGAAATGATTATCAGGCTCTGGAAAGCCCTTGATTACAGGAAATAGCACCTACATTTTGAGAAAATGTTCCCACCAGACACAAAAGCTGAATCAAAGTCTCTCCTCTTCCTCGGCATGGCTTTCTCTGGCATTTTAGCCTAAATAATCCAAATCCCCAGTCTTCCTTGTGGAGAAAAAAAAATTAACAAGTACAAAATGAAGCAAAATAGAGGTGGGTTCAGTCTCCCTACTTGCTGCATTACACCATGTACTATGTAATTCTTTGTCTGGAGCAGCTGACTTTTGCTTCACCAAAACCATTCCCGCTGCACTTCACTTTGTATTAAATTAGAGGATAAAATATAAAGTTTTTTTCCATCCACTAATACAAATTAATACGAGTGTATTGAATTAGAGGATAAACTCATTAATTTACATTAGTCAAAGGAAGAAAATATAAAATAACAGGTTTGGGAAACTAAAGAAGAAAAGTTAGTATCATGTTAATTTTATTATCATGTCCTTCCTTCCTATATAAAGTCACTTGTCATTTATCCTTTTTCTCTCATATATAAATCTGCAATCAATTAAAAACCTATAAACCAGGCAAGTCTTATATATTTTCATAAGTAGTCCCGTGTTCTATAGTGATCTAATCTATAACACCCACTGCCATAAATTTATACAGAGTTCCTGGGTCAATTTAACTGTTGGTTATCTTTAATAGACCATTACAATTTTGAAGTTAAAAATTTAAAGTATAACTGTACTTATGGCCTAATGACTTACTCTTCTTCCATTCTGAGAGTGCAAGTTATATTTCTACAGACCTATTCATATATGTCCAACACACTGGTAAGCTTCATGAGAAAGACTCTAATAGAGAAGGAAGACTACATTATTCTGAGCATGTCAGTACAATGATTTAAAATATGCTCTGTTCAAGTAAATGCAAGACACGCAATATTGGGAGAATATCATCTCCGGTGAGGTAACAGACCTGAGTTTTTAATATTTGTATAAATAACAGCTTATAAATATAATACGAATGCTTACTGAGGATCTTTCTTTTTCAGTAGAGGATCTGATTTTGATCTTTCTTACTTGCAGAATAGTTGTTCCACTGAAGTCAGCATATTTACATTGAAGTTTAAGCTAGATTAAAACAAGCCTGTAATATTCTCAAAGGTCACATATAAACAGAACTTATGAGGAGTGGGATAAAGCTATTCTGTTCAGCTCGAATGGAATTCAAGTTCTGAATTTACCTAAAACAAAGGAAGAAGTAACAGATAATGGTTCCTGCAGTCTATAAAAATATA